TTCTACTCTCTAACCCAGCACTAGAAAATATTTTCCGGAAAAAGTTTCACTCAAAAACCAAACAAGGAAAAATAAGTGATAAAACTACTCATTTTCCATGAAAACATTTTCCTTCGTACCAAACACACCCTTAGTCTTGTGTTTTATTTTCAATTTGTGGATTGCTTTCAAGTCAAGTTTAATTCAGTATAATTTGCGTTTTTAGCAAATTATACCGAGAATATTGTTAAGGTACTTTCTTATTGTTCCCTATAATTTTTAGGTTATAACTGTTTTGGGTAGGAAAACGGGTTATTTATGTAATCTGGATAAATTTTCTTAACAGGTTTAGAAGAGCTCTTTAAGTCCAAAAACACTCCCGTAATTTTCGAGATTCAATAGTTATAAATAATACGAGAATCAATCCTTTCTGGAAGGCTTCTTTAGAACTTGTGCAACCTCACATTAGGAGGTACCTAACGCATTCTAGGTGGAATTCTAATATCATTTCATTCTTAGCTACTACTCACCTGGCTACAGTACACATCTCTATTTATTTCTTCTTTGCTTTTTTTGTAATATAAATCATCACCATCCTCTGGCTACCCTACAGGCCTTAACGACCAAGTTTTTTTCTAAATGTTTCACTTCAGCCACAAAACCCTACAAATCTAGCCTAAGTTGGTTATTGTTCCACCACTCGTATTGTTGGGTGATGGGTCTCATATTTTGGATCTAGTGATCTCCTTTCTTATTCTACATCACCCTTTCGCTTCATTTATTTAGTAGGTTCAACTACTTATCATGTCAAGTTGACGCATAAACAATTCAATATCCAAGACCTGCTACAAGATCAAAGAGCCAAAAGGCTAGACCATCCATTTATGTGCAATATTGCATGACGACTAACATTCTAGTGAGAACCACACAAACCTTCTCTTATATCACCGAGAGGCTATGCAACAGGAACAAAGCTTTTTTCTGCCTCTAGCTGAGGTTTTATGCCCAATTGTTCACTAAAAGGAAACATTACAAAATCTTCTCGATTTGTGTAAGGGTAGTCTTATTGGTAGAACAAATGAGTATATGGATTTCTTGGATTTGCTAAGGGTCAGACAATAGATGCAGTTTTGATGTACTGATCTGCATTCCCTTTGTTATTGTACTACCGGTACCATCTTGGTACCTTATATCAATAAAACTTTTCCCATTTCCAAAAAAAGAAAGAAAATTTTGAAAATCAAGCTGCAATTCGACCAGCAAAGTACTCGTTTAATTAAACACCACGTATCATTACGTAAAGTCCTGTAGAATTACTTCCTGTCAGAAATAAATATGTTGTTGAGCCAAGTGCACTCACTATCTAACATTTATGGACTACTCTAAAAACGTACATATCTCATAGATTTGCTGCAGATGAACTCGGGGAGAGGAGGATTTTTAATTAGAAGGCTTCCATCTTCCAACAGATAAATGTTACCACTTCTGACTCAAAGACACTTTACCAGTGTTTGGCCGCAACAACAGAGAGACAAGAAATGGAAATTTTGATATAATTAGATAACAAACTACAGATAAAGACGTACCTTACTCAACAAAGAGTTCAGGTCCTGAGGATGTGATTTGGCTATTTCACCAATCTGCCTAGCAGCTGTCAATCTTGTTGCTTGGGTCGAGCCAGCTTAATTTTGGTTAAAGCTAACACATGCATACAAGTTAAATTCTATAGCTAAAAATATAAGCTAGCAAACAAAAAAACTAAATTTCCATTCTTTCCGTATTAAGAGATCAATGCATGTGTATATCATTAAGCATGCAACAAAATGCAAAAGGATACTGTCTAATAAAGTGAGCAGGCGATTAAGCCGTGATGATTGCTGCTGAGCCATACTGCCCCTGCTATGCCCGACTCTTACACCACGCCAGTTCTCAATTCAACAATCAGCCACCATCATCACATATCATTCCCTGACAATTCTCTCAAGTTCCCTTCACACCCTTGCATGTGTCACTCATGCAACGATCATACTCTCCTACAAGCAACTTTAGCATCAGTAATTCAAATTTTAATTCTCATGTACTCGCTACAACATCAAAATACTACCATAAAAAAAATCGTAAGATTAACATGCAAAATTGAATTACCAGATTCATTTAACAGGAACTCTAGAGTAAAACGAAGAAATTATAATTACATATAAGAAATGGAAGAATGCTACTGATCCAATTTTCATATAGAAAAATTAATAGATAGAGAAATGTAGATATATAGAGAATGAGGAGCGTACCTGGGAAAGGATCTTCTAGACTGACCTATTATTCTTCCTTGCTCTTCTTGTTGTTGTGGATTAGGTTGTGGTAAAGTGTGAGAAGAACGAGGGTTTCGATTTATGATAACAGAAGAGAGGAAGGCAAAGGGATCGCATCTTTTTATAAAAGAGAAAAAAAAAAACTAAAATTCCGCGATTCTGGTGTATTGACCCGACCCGTATAATTGATTAATAATCTACCAAATTTCCGAATCCTAACTCGGCATGGCGCCTACTCGGTGCATTTGGGCTGTAGCCCAATGGACTTAGATGACTAGCCCTAACGATGATGTTACAATTATCCACAAAAATAAAATTATTTACCTTTACTTATCCATTTATTTTTCTACCTATCAAACTAATTACATTTACTATCCATAGTAATTTTTGTGGGAATTTTCTCTTTTTTCTCCAATTCTTTTTTATTTCTATACTTCTTTTCTTTTTTTCCTTTTTTTTCTTTTTTTTCTCCTTTTCTTTTTTTTTCGTTTTCTTCTTCTTCTTTTTCTTTTTTCTCTTTTTCTATTCATTTATTTTTGCCCAAATCGTATTATTGTTATTTTTACCATAACTTATTACACGCTTAATTTTGACTCCTTCTTTATTTCTTTCTTTATTTCTGGTTCCTTTTCTAATTCCATTTAACTCTTTTTTTCTTTTTTTTTCTTTAGTTCTTGTTCCTTTTCTAATTTTATTTAACTTCTTTTTTTATATTTTTTTCTCTTTATAATCTAATTTCATTTATTATTTTTATTATATTTTATTATTTATTTTTTTATAAAATAAAAAAAAACTGATATAATAAATATTTGTTCACCTTTTTAAATATAACTAGTATAATATTCCTTTTGTATTTTTTCTCATTTTTTAATTCATTTATTAAGCTGAAATAATTGTTGTTTTCACTTGATCTAATTTACTGAATATCACACTGACAGCTCTTGAGCACCATAAATTACATAATCAGATTCCAAGAATCAACACGTGATTGCAATGCAAACATTGATCTCAATCCCTATAAATATCAGTACACACTCTACTATTAGCAGTAACACAACCACTTATGGAGCAAGAAAATATAATCTACGACCACCAAATCTCTATATATACTAGTTAGAATAGAAATGATAATAAAATATCATTATTATCAATATGTATAAGTAGCAAAAAAGACTTCTAGTACCGTATGATACCAATATGGTATACATGGATACCAATATGGTATACCAACAGAGTATATGATTGCTCTAAAATATTGCTACAACTATATGCGACAATACTATTGTATCAAAACATTAAAGGATGCAATAAAGTATGAGAAAATTACATGCTCGTTTTGCAAGCTAAACATTCGCAAAGCAACTTGCCCATTCCGTATAACAACAGGGTATATAGTTATGTTGGGTCGTTCCAACAATTGCCTATAACTATAAAAACTATTACATAATGCACATAATCTATGTCCATCAGCAAACAAAAATCCCAGTAGTGCAAATCATATTCATATAAACAATTTTAGAATAGAATTCACTTAAAAATACAATTAAAACAATCAAAAAAATGCTCAAACTATCATATGACACTAATATGGCATATAACTATACCAACAAGGTATATAATTTTACTGCTAATTTCCGACAACTATATGACTATACTACTATTACATAACACACCTTCATAAAGAGAAAAAAAAAATAGTGTACCACATATTAATATAATAAAATATTTCAAGATATTGTACTATAATACTATTATTAAAAGAAAATCAAATATTGTATCAATTAAATGCAGCTAATACAACCAAAAAATGATTCAACTAGCATATGATACCAATATAGTATATAGCTATACAAATAGGGCATATAGTTTGTATGGGGTCGTTCCAACAACTGCATATAACTATAAAAACTATTACATAATACACAAAATCTATTTCCATAGGTACAAGAAAATCCAACACAGGAAAACATGATCATATAAATCATTTCATAATAGAATTCACTTAAAAATGCAGCTATACGACCAAAAAATATTCTAACTACCATGTGATACCAATATGACATATAATTATACCAATAGGATATACAATTCTACTAATTAATTCCAGGCAACTATATATGACTATACTAATATTATATAATACACATGCATAAATAGAAAAATAAAAAATAGTGTACCACATATTAATATAATAATGTATTTCAAGATATTGTACTATAATACTATTATATAAAACAAACACATAAAAAAATCAAAATGATTACATAATACACATGTATAAAGGAAAATTTAAAAAAAAATCAAGATATTGTACTATAATACTATTATATAAAACAAACACATAAAAAAATCAAAATGATTACATAATACACATGTATAAAGGAAAATTTAAAAAAAAATCAAGATATTGTACTATTCTATTATTACTAAAGAAAAATCAAATAGTGTACCAATTAAATGTAGCCAATACAAACAAAAAATATTTCAACTAACATATGATACTAGTATAGTATATAGATATACCAATAGGATCTACAATTGTATGCAACGAGTTTAAAAAAGATTCTTTTAATTCAATTATTAAACTGAAATAATATCAGTTGTCAATAAAAAAAATTAAAAATTCTAAAAAGACCCAATTGTAAGAGTATATTGTTACATTATGTAGTATACTATAACAGTATATCATTGGAATGAACTAATTACCAAAATAGTATATAGTATATCATTTTGGTATATCGTACAAATTCTTCTTCGCCAGTTCAACGCAATTGTCACGGCCCAAGTTCTCCCTCTGTGAACTGTCGTGATGGCACCTAGTCTCTACGACTAGGTAAGCCAACAATTTGCCGAAATGAAACAAAGATATAAAAACTAACAATTTAACAGGTAAATCTAGTAAAGAAGTTTAAAATGTCGCTCGGCATATACAATAAAACACTCTCGAACTGAACATAAGCACTCCTAAAACCCGGAATCTCATGAATCACAAGCTACAGAAGTACATAGTGTTTCTAAACTCCAGAAATCTATCAGCAAAGAAAATACAGGAAGTCTATAACTTGAAGAAGAACAGAGAGGGACTTCTAGGTCTGCGGACGCGGCAGATATACCTCAAAATCTCCAAGATCGCCTCGCCTCACTAGAAGTATGGCTGAGAAGAGGTACCTGGATCTGCACACGAAAAATATGTGTAGGAAAGGGCATGAGTACACCACAGCAGTACCTAGTAATTGCCAAGCCTAACTTCGGTCGAGTACCGACGAGATCAGGTCAGGGCCCTACTGATTTTAATATAATAAAATTTAACAGAAAGAAATATTGCAGTAAGGAAGTAGATACTAAAGTTTTAACCAGGAATAAGCACAGAAGAACACCATCTCAAAACCCAACAATAGCAACAGGGGATCTCCTGGGATATCGTCCCGTAGTCCCAAATGTAAATATGCAGGGAGGGATTTCCCGGAATACCGTTCTGTAGTCCCAAAGTAAATATGTAGTGCTGGGGGATCTCCCGGAATATCGATCCGTAGTCCCAAAGTAAATATGCAGTACAAGGCCTGGAATACTGTTCCGTAGTCCCAAAGTAAATATACAGCACAGTCAATACGAACAACAGTTATATCAAGAAATTTGCAGTTTAAACTAAGTTTACATTTAAGGAAAACAAGACATTTCACTAGAACATGCTGCATAGAGTTCAAATAGATAGTTTAACACGTAAACATTCTTTTCTAACCTAATCAAGGCAATAACATATGATAATGTAGTTCAACAAGGAAAAACAGGTTAAGACTTAGTAAAAAAATGGAGTTTTACAACAAATAGCCCGTGTACGCACTCGTCACCTCACTTACACGGCTAAGTTTGTATGCTACGGACCTCAAAAAATGAAGTTTTACAACAAATAGCCCGTGTACGCACTCGTCGGTCAAACAATACCAAAATCCTAAGGGGAGTTCCCCCCACAAGGTTAGGCAAGCCACTTACCTCGAACCAAGCTCAAATCAATCTGAAATCACGCTCTTGCCACGAGTATCCAACTCCGAGTGGACCAAATCTAGTCAAATCAATTACATAACGTAAATATAACTATAAACAACTAATTTAGCTAATGATATCGAAGCTAAGGCAAGAAAATAGAAAAATGCCCAAAAATTCTCCTCGGACCAAAGTCTCGGAATCGGGTAAATGAGCACCCATGCACTCACGAGTTCACTCGAATAAAAATCATGCAAATCCGACGTCTAATTCCCATTCAAACCTCAGATTTTCTATTTGGGAACCCTTTTCCAATTTCCAAACTTCTACCCTCATATTCCTTAATTAGATGAGGAAAACAACAATAGATTAATGTAATATGATCAAAATAGAGTTATAATTAGTTACCCAATAGTTCTCCCTCAAAATCCCTCGAGAAATCGCCTCCCTCCGAGCTCTACATTAAATTTGTGTTATGAAATTTCAAACCCTTGAAATGCTCTTTTCTTCTTTTCTGCCCAGCGATTTCCACATCTGCAGTCCCGCACCTGTGAAAAAATCATCGCAGGTGCGAAGGTCACTTATTCGGGCTGGGGCCTCATTTGCGGTCTCACACTTGCGGTCCCCAGCCGCACCTGCGATCCCTGTTGCGTAGGTCCATTTCTGCTTCTGCAGCTACCCAACCGCTTCTGCGGCACCGCACCTGCGGTCCAATATCTGTAGGTGCGAAAACAACAGGTATAGTAATGCTTCAGCAACATGCCTAAGTCCCAAACCGAGGCCCCCAGGACCTCAACCAAACCTAACAACTAATCCTAAAGCATCATACGAACTTAGTTGAGCCCACAAATCACATCAAACAACACTAAAATCACGAATCACCCTCCAATCCAACCTTAATGAACTTGAAATCTCAAAATTCTACAATCGATGCTGAAACCAACCAAACCATGTTCGATTGACCCCAAATTTTGTATAAGTCACATTCATCACTACAGACTTATTCCAACTTCTAGAATCGGATTCTGACCCCGATATCAAAAATTCCACTATCAACTTGAAACTTCAAAAATTCAACTTTTGTCATTTCAAGTCTAAATTAGCTGCAGACCTCAAAAATACAATCCGG